AGGCGCAACACTGAGGGTTGCGATCCTGTTGCCGGTCCCCAGTACAGGCGCGACACCGAGGGTTGAGATCCCGTTACGGTCAGTAAAAAAGACAAAAAAATAAATAAATAAAAAATAAGTCGCCTTTGTCTTGCATGTATTTGACACACGATAGTGGGAAAGCTCACTGGGGGCAGCAGCTTGAGGCTGGATGTCCTTGTGCCTAAGGTAAGTGTAGGTTGTGTTTCCTCACAGTGATGTTCAAGATCATTTACCTGCACGGTTTGGCTTCTTACAGATGTAAATGAATGCAATGAGTTGAACAACCGGATGTCTCTCTGCAAGAACGCCAAGTGCATCAACACCGAAGGTTCCTACAAGTGTGTGTGTCTGCCAGGCTACTTACCGTCTGACAAGCCGAACTACTGCACTCCATTGAATACCACCTTGAATTTAGAAAAAGACAGTGACCTGGAGTAAAAGAGAATCTACATAACCTAAGCCCATATACTCTGCACTGTGTAAAGGAAAAGGGAGAAATGTATTATACTTGAGACATTGCACCTAACCCAGAACGTTGAAAATACGAAAACAGCATGGGGTTGCACATCCTCCAAAGACAGAGAGAGGATGATCTAGAATGAGCCTGACTGGTGTGACAGACCAAATGGACATTTCTCTGAAAAAACAGTATATATAGTCTGTTCATATGTAAAATTCAGTGGAAAAGAGGCAGAACAGTGCTGTTATTTTAAACAGAAGGTTGTATTATTATGTCGTTTTGTTTTTTACTATTGCTTGATTAAATTTGGCATTTAAATAGTGGTGGAAATATTTTATATAATTTTCATTTTTTGGTTGTGTGGTTCCTTGGCTACTGTTTTTCTTTTTTTTTTCTGATTTAAAAATAAATCTCAAGTGCAAAAGTCATTGATGGAATATTGTTAAACTGTGTTATAGGTATTGTTACACAGGGTTATACTATTCCTGGTCTGGAGCATTTTTAAAATTCAAATTGTCTGTCCTGTGGAGCAGGCAGTGATTTTGTCTCAAAATTTTTATACACATTTGGAGAAGAGTACTTTATATTTTCAGTGTATTGTCTGATTTTAATGTCCATTCTTAGCCAAACTGTTAGCAGGTGTCAATTGGATCCCTTTCCTTCATTGAAATGGAAGAATTTATGAGCTTGTATTAGTATTGTCATATGTAAAGTAAACCCAGCAAATTTTTTTTGAAAACTTGATGATCCCCAATATATTTACCATTGTATGTTAAAGCAAAATAAATCACCATTTTTGTAGAAAAGCATTCTACCTGAGAGTAATTGTCAATGAGCACATGTGTACAAGTTGTATTCCATTCTCCCCTCTTTTGTTTTTACTAATGGTTCTCTATTAATGTAGAATCTTTTATAAGTTAGTCATTAAATGTGTTAGATATTGTTATGAATTGTTCCCCCCCCCAGTTTATATGTTGAATACTTCAGAATGTAACTATATTTGGTGATAGGGTCTTCAAAGAGGTAATTAAGGTTAAATGAGGTCATTGCAGTGGGCCCTAATTTAATATGACTGGTGTCCTTATAACAAGTGGGGATTAGGATGCAGACACACACACAAGAAAAACCATGTGAAGACACAGAGAGAAGGTGGCCATTTACAAGCCAGAAGAAATCAGTCCTACCAAAACCTTAATTTCTTTCACTTTCCAGAGTTGTGAGAGAATAAATGGCTGTTGTATAAAACACCCAGTGTGTATACTTTGTTATGGCAGCTCTAGCAAACTAACTTAGGTACATATCACAGAAAGAATGAATAATAGCTTCAAAGTTCTAGTCTTTGCTACTTAATACACATTCCCAGTCATGCAATGGTTTCATAACATAAACTGAAATTCAGAAGCCATTTTTACTTAAGAAAAGCATCTGAGTTTTTAAAAACAAACTATCTATAGGCATACCCAGCAGAAAATCTCTCCATTGACCATTTTCCTAAAAGATAGGCTTTTGCTTTTTAATACCTATAATAAGCAGAATAATGGCACCTCAAAGAAGTCCATGTCCTAATCCTTGGAAGCTGTGAATGTGTTACCTTACATGGCAAAGGGAATTAAGGTTATGGATAAGATTGCTGATCAGTTAGCCTGAAAGATTATTCTGGGTTGTGTGGGTGGGACCAGTGCAATAACAGGGGTCCTTGAAAAGAAGACCTTAAAAAGTGGAAGAGGAAGGCAGAGGAGGAGAGTCAGTGGGAGACAGGAATATGGAAGAAGCAAGCTGCCACTCTGCTAGCTTCGAAGATGGAGGGAGACGGGAGGCGGCGTGAGCCGAGGAATGTGGGCAGCCACTGGAAGCTGGAAAAGTCAAGGAAACAGAACTCCCCTAGAGCCTCCACAAAGGAATCAGCCTTGCCAGTACCTTGGCAACTTGATTTCAGTCCAGCGATTCTTGTGTCTGTTTTTAACAACAAATGCGCATTGTTCGAAGCCACTAAATTGGCAGCAATCGGATGCTGATACAATGTTGAAGCTTCACGGAGGCTTGCTGTCTTACCTATCCCTCTTACATTTATCAGCCGATGTTTAAGAGAAATGTGTGCTTGTTCAGAACGCGTTTTCATGGTGCCTTCCACGTCTAGCCCTTGTTTTTGCCTAGGGTCATGCAAATCCCCCGAAAGTAGAGCATGTGTCCAAAACTAGGGAAGGAAGCCATGTGAGTGCCTG